GCGAGGGAGGTCTCGAGCGCGGCCGAAGCAGCTGAGTGGTTGAGGCCGCCTGGGATCTTGGAAACCAAGAAGAGGTCGCGGCGCGTGAGGCGGCTGCCGTCGATGGCGGCGGCGATGGCTCGGCCAACGCCATCCTGATTGTGGTAATTCAGTGCCGTATCGACGTGCCGATAGCCCAGGCCAAGGGCCTCTGCCACTACTCTCTCTGCGACCGTCGCGTTGTACTGCCACGTGCCGACTCCCGCGAGCGGCATTTTGACGCCGGGTGCGATAGTGATTGTTGGCACGCTCGTCGGCGTGAACGACAGGGTGAAGAGGTGGAAAAGCATGTTGCGTAGCGAGAACTGCCAGCACGCTGTCTGGAAGCCCCAGCCGAGTGAACCTCGAGGGCGTCCAGTTTGGCCTGGTGGGAACGGGTTTTCTCTTTTTTCGCGCGGCTGCGGTGGCCGGGGGAAGTTAGGTGAGTGTGTGTGTGTGGCGATGGCGAAAAACTCGTCTCGTGGCACACCAAGAGCTTATGCTCTGGCGAGATGTGAGGCGCATGCGCCCAGGAGGGGAGGGCGCATGCGTAACGAAGCTGCTAGAGATGCCTTTCGGGGGGGCCCACGCCCCACGGGCCCAGAGATAAAACTTCTGATGCCATGCGTGACCTAGTAGTGTCCCCAGCTATGGGCGTGTCCACGTTGGAGCCAGGTGTGGTGTGGGCGCGAGAAGAGCTCCGCCGTTCATGGTACATGGAGAGGCAACCGATACGAGTCCGACTGTCGTGTGTGTCGTCGTGGTTTCGTATCAAGAATACTCACTCACACGGAAGTTAGGTAGGGCGTTTTGGCGCGAGCGAGAGAGATTTTTAGCAATACCACGAGTAGAAGAGATTTTTGAAAACCGAGAGCAGGAGCCGGAGGAACCCTCGAGCAAAAAAATCATTTAAAATCCCTGTGTGGGAGAGAGAGATTTTTGAAAACCAACAAGAAATCACGACTTTCACAGTGATTTTCGGCCATCCCTCCCTCCCCGCTCCTTTCTTTCTTTCTTTCTGATTTGGGCTCGGCATGGCGGCGTGCCGTCCTCCCATCCCTCCCTTGCACTGTCTGTTTTCTTTCTTTCATTCCTGTTAACAGTCCTCCTTCTGTGACTGGTGAATGTAACGAAACCGACCTACCCAAGGGAGGGATGGG